TGGAACTTACTTGTAGACCAGGCTGGCTTTGGACTCACTGAGATTTGCCTGCCTCTGCCTTCCAAGTGCTGGGATTAAAGGTATGTGCCTACACCACCTGACCATCTAAAACCTTTTATCTATTTTTGTAAACTAAAAAAATCCATGTAAGCTTCAGGGAATTGAGGGAGTTGTAAGACTTGGATCAACCTCTTAGAGGTCAAATGGGCTCCGGATAAGTACTTTTGTCAGTCAACAGTCTCAAGTTTCCCCACCTGTTTATTCCTGACTGTGGGATTTTGCTGTTTCTCTCCTGGTCTTGGGACTCCTTTCCTTCCCTAGCTACCAGGAACATGAGCTTGAAAGTTACAAATGCAAGATCTCCTTCAAGTTCCTAAACTTTAACTTCAGTCCCTGGTCTATATCTGTCCCAGCAAGTTTGTACTTGCCTGACAGACACCATCCAGGAATCTGCTGTTGACTACAAACTGCTCCAGATGACCCTGGACTTGCTGAAATCGGATGTGAACCAGTCCAGCTGATGTGATTGCTCCCTGCCTCTTCAGCTGGGTCAGTGAAGCAGATGCTTCTGATGAATGCCCATTCCCTGAATGCTCCATCACCTGAATCCTCTCCTGGCTTTTGACTAAATTTCCAGCCTCCCTGGGCCCTGACAATGACATCTTAATGTTAGCAGGAACCAGTTACAGAAGAGAATATGTTGCTCCTTGTCCTCAACAAAAAGGATGGAGTGTTACTTCAGAAGGAAACTTCCTGGCATGGGGGCAAAATGGCTACCTATAATGCCTATTGGCATTCCAGAAATGGTACCTATTGAAACCAAATAGACCCAGATCTATCAACAGGTAGGTTCATTTGCTGAAATAGTTTTATAACATGATAGGGCACCCAGTCTACTTTATGTAAAAGAAGGGGGTTATCATATGGCTTTAAGAAAGAAGTTTTTCTTTTCTTTTTTGATTTTTCAAGACAGGGTTTGTCTGTGTCTCTGTGTAGCTTTATAGACCAGGCCTGGCCTTGAACTCACAAAGATCTGCCTGCCTCTGCCTTCTGAGTGCTGGGATTAAAGGCGCATGCCACCACTGCCTGTTGGAAAAAAAATCGTTTCTATGCAAACCACTCAGGAATAATTAGAGATAATCTGGTTGTATTAAAAAAATATGCAAAACAGGGGAAAATAAATGAAATAAATGACTGGTTCTCTGTTTCTCATTCTGATTTCCAGGCTCCTCTTAGATAGTGACTTGACGTCAGCCATCGCAGGGCCTTTGGCTCTTCTGTTTCTGCTGATTGTTATTGGCCCTTGCATCATTAATGCCTCAACTATATACATAAATCCCCACCTAGGTACCATTAAGCTGATGATTATTACATCCCAATATAAACAGGTACCCACCACTGAGTCAAGGATTTGACACAACTTGGGGTTGTGAGGGTGTGATGGCTAAAGTTATGTTTTAAGTTTAAATTACTGTGCTTAGGACATATAAAAGAAAAAAAAATGCCTCTAACCTGTAAGTCCCACTCATCCAAGGACAGATGGAATGCTGGGGTTCATGTAAGATAATAAGTGTAATGTTTTCACTTCTGTAAACAAGCATGGGTGCACCAATTTCCAACATGTGTGCTTGATTACATGCAGGCAGGAGGTATGTAGGCAGGAGTACATCAGGATATGTGCTTGTCCCTGATTGGAAGAAAGTGTGATGTACATAGACTTGTGTGTTTTGCTTTATAAACCTCTGACTAATGTAATTCGGGCCATCCTCTGGGAATACCAGGAATGAACACGGACTGTATCCATGGACCTTGCTTTAAATTTGGCTTGAAATTGTGGCAGTGGTCTTATTCTCACCCAGTGGGGTTAGCACATGGTGCTGGAGCGCAGAGCTTATATCTTGATCCACAAGCATGAGGCAGAGCTGAGAATGGCATGTGATTTTTTCTTCTTCTTTTTTTCTTTTTTGAGATAGTTTTCTCTGTGTAGCCTTAGCCATCCTGGAACTTTCTCTGTAGACCAAACTGGCCTTGAATTCAGAGATTCATCTGCCTCAGCCTCCCAAATGCTCGGATTAAAGGCATCCAGGGCCACATTTGCTAATCTGTCCCAAACAGTTCTACCAACTGCAGACCAAACATTCAAATACATGAGCCAATGGGGGCCATTCTCACTCAAACCATCACAGGGCCTACTCCTGAGCATGTTTAGTTAAGGAGTAGATACCTAAAACATGTTTATTTTAAGGACATAATTTAAAAAGAAAAGTTGTTAGTCATACTTTTGGGTGCATTTATCACACATGCCATACTGGTGTGATGGACAGGAAGACTTTTGGGCTGTTCAACTAGAATCACACAAAGTTTTGGCTGAAAATAGATATACTATTGTTCTAGGAGTCTATCGCGAGGGTGCCTGCCTTGCTTATGGCAGTCACACCTAGTTACGTAAGGAATTTATGTCTGAGTTTATTCAGGCCTTAGCCGATCACTTTTGTACCATAAGTCCCATTTATTGCCATTTGGCATACTGGCAGGCTGCTGGTCAGCCCAGGTCTGACTTGCCCTTGGCCAGGAGTGAGGTTGGGGGCAGGGCTGCCACTACCCCTTCCCCAGGAATGTGAGTGTTCCTGGAGGGCCAGCTCACAGGCCATCACTGAAGAAAAACCGAGGTGCAGACAGGATTCCAATCTCGACTTTGGGTTTGGAGCTGAAGCCTGGGATGGGAGAGTGCTGCCTCCTGGGTTTGGAGGTGCTTTTCTTTGTCTCCTCCCTCTTCTCTGAGATTTTGACTGAGCTCATTCTTTGGGAAGAAGGTTTCTTGGCTTCACTGCCACACTGGATCCATCTGGACCTGTGGGCTTTTATTGGAACTGAAGCTGTAGCTCCTACTGTTGTGGTATCCAGCTCTAGTTTCTCCTCTCCTTTCCCAACAATCCTGGGAAATCCAGGGTGTTGCTTTATTTCCTAGGTAGGGAGCAATTTGCAAGAATGATCCATTCCTGAACTGCCTCATGCTGACCCTGTAAAATATCTATTATTCCAATCATTCAAAGGTTTGGTGAGAACCTTTGAAAACGTCAGCCATATAGTGGTGGTACACACATTTAACCCCAGCACTCAGAGGCAAAGGCCAGCCTGGTCTACAGAGCAAGGTTCAAAAAAGCAAGGTTCCAGGACAGCCAGGGCTATATAGAGAAACCTTGTCTTGAAAAACAAAACTAAACTAAACTAAACAAAAAACCAACCAAACAAAAAAAGCAGAAAATGTCATTTACAATTCAACTAATGAGGCTGGATTCTTCTGTCTTTCACAAGTTTATGTGAAAGTTTTGTCTTTCAAAACTACAATATTCTCAAACTCCTTTGTAACCTTTTCTTTCTTTGAACCCTATCAGAAACTCCTGTTTCTACACATTAATAAAGCACTCTTATTAAATAAAAGCCAGAAACTTGTAGATTGATTCCAAATACAGTGAATACTAAGGTACAAAGAAGAACTATATCTGAAATCACCAACAGCAGCAGATTCAAGGTAGGAAGATGAGCAAATGTAGACCATGAAAATGCTGATAAAAAGAAAGCTATATTGCCATGTGTCTTAGTTTGGATTTTTATTGTTGTGAAGTGACACCATGACCATGACAACTCTTATAAGGAAACATTTAACTGAGGTGACTCGCTTATAGTTTCAGAGGTTCAGTCCATTACCATCGTTATGGGGAGCATGGTGGATTGCAGGTGGTTCTGGAAGAAGAGCTCCCACATCTTGCAGACAACAGGAAGTTGACTAGGACTCTGGGTGGTATCCTGTGCATAGAAAACTTCAAAGCCTGCCCCCCACAGTGACACAGTTCCTCCAACAAGGTCATACCCACTCTGACAAAGCCATACCTCCCAACAGTGCCACACCCTTTGAGGTTATGGGGACCAATTATACTCAAACTACCATACTATGATAATATCAGGTAAAATGGAAATCAAGGCAGATTACATGAAATCGGGGAAAGGATGTCCTTGACCAGCCTTCCAAAGCATCACTTTACCTTTGCTTCTCCTTATCTCCTGTATCATCCATTACCTAAGAACATCCCCACTGCTCCAATGCCTGCTGTCTGACTGCTCTCCACTCCTGCAGAGTTTGAATCAACCTTTCCCTAGGAGCTTCTTCAGATTTTCCCTCCTCTTCTGGTTCTCCCTCCTCCTCTGGCTCTTCCTTATTTTCTGGGTTTCCTCCCATTTGGGGGCAGGGTTTCATCTTGTGTGATTTATTTTCCCCTCCCTTTATTCTTTGCTTCTTCCTGTCTCTTTGTCTTTGAATGGAATTATTTCAAGAACTGATCTGACTGGGTTTTTTCTTTTTTCTTAAAAATAAAACAAAACAACAACAACATCAACAAATCTGGAGCATTACAAAGAACAGACCTGCAGACACACTGCAGAATTCAAGCGCAGTGTATCTATCCTTCCATTGGCCTCTTAACACCAGGTGCCTTCGAGGCTGCAGGAAAGCCAGTACTTAGATGGAAACAAGGGCCAGACTATCCACTACTACTTAATAGTATTATGTTTTTAGTTTCTATTTTTTTTTATTCTATGTGTTTTCACATCATGTATCTTAATTCCATTTATTCCCTGTCCCTTCACATCTGCCCTTCCCCCCCACCCCCCGCCATGCACCCTCTCCCCAAATAAAACAAAATTGAAGAGAAAAAAAAAAAAAAAGGAATCTCACCATGGAAGCTGCAGTGTGACCCAACAAATCGTGCTATATACCCCTTTGTCCATACATCTCTACTTGCAAGTGTTCCTTGCAGAGTCATTCATTGGTCTGGTTCAAGGCCGCTGGTCTTCACTACATGTTCAATGCTGAGCCCCCACTAGGACTCTTCCTGGGCAACCCTCCGGCACCCTGTGTTGTGGAGATCCTGCAGCTTTGTGTTTGTGGGTCAGGTTCCTTCATGTGCTCCAGGAGATCATAGATGAAGTGGATGATGGGGTGGGCCACGTCATAACCTTGGGTGTGGGCCTGGCCAGCTGCAGGGATGGTCTTCAAGATTGGAAATGGGGACAGCTCTCCCATACTCACAATTTTGGGGCTGGCTCACCCATATCTGCACTAACAGGTTGGCTGTATTGTGCTGCGCTGGCCAGGTGTAGGGCCTGCTCTCCTGGGTGTTGCAGCTGGTAGGAGGTCAGGGACAGCTTTTATCTTTATCCTTGCAAATACATTTAATTTTCATAAATGTATTTACCAATTAAAAATGGAAGTCTGTCTTAAAAATAAGATACAGCTTACTATATTGCACTGTTTTTTATCTAACCACAAGGATTGAAACTATCCTTGTGGTTTCAATATCGTCACAGAATGTGTCATGTGCACATTGTTTTGCCACTCTTTTCTTCAACTTTTGTTTTCAGCATCAGGTCCACGGTTAGTTTCAGTGTCCAAAGGTGATCTTTTTGTCAGCATTTTCTAAAACTACAAGACAAGAGTTTTGTTGTATCTGTATCTGTCTTCTTGTACTGAATGGCTTCAACTAGGTTTTGCTTTCCTATCACCAGTGAATGAACCTAGGACCTTAAGCATCCCATTCAAGCTACTGAGTTACACTGATTGGGTAGAACGACCAGGGAACCTCAGAATATACAGATGTTTCCTTGCTCTGGAAGCCAAGCAGAGCAATAGGTTGCTGGAAATGTCCCGCTCAACTGCATGGGGATCAATACCAAACACGATGCTTCTTTCCAGGCCGGAGAACCGACGGATGCTGTCAAACATGCCAGGAGGATAGACAGACGCATCATCCATCTGAGACACTCTTCTCTTCCTCATTTCACTCAGGAAGTTATCTTTATATTTATCCTTTTCCTCTTCCGTGCTGAAGAGTACAGCAATATCATGGGGAGAATAGCCATTCCTCAGGAAACAATTGCACTCATTTGCTACATAGCTCACCATTTCTTTCAAGCTCAAGTATTTGCACTTAAAGCTGCCTGAGATGCCATTAGCCCAGGTAAACTCATTGAGTAGCTCCAGAGACTCAGCAGAGATCCTGGGTGGAGGGTTATTTCTGATTTTCTGTAATTCCTCTTGTAAGAACTCAGCTATTCTATCTGCATTGCGTACCACTCTTGTGAGTTCCTCCTTATGTTTCTGTCGTGAGTAACATGGCAGGCCACTCCTATGAGTGTGGCTGGTCTGAAAATAGTCCAGAAAGATCCAGAAAATTCCAGGATGCCTTTTATCTCTTTGAGTGATGGCACTTGCCTTCTTATACCAGTTCCCATCTTCAGTGCGGAAATTCTGGGCTTCATCAACAATGATGTGTTGGATCATGTTTGTCTCAAGCTCATCTTTCATGAAAAGTTTCCGGGTCACTGCCTGGCAAATATTTTTTGTCCTGTAACAGTGAAAAAGTCATTAGGTATTTCTCATCACATGCCCAGCAACACAAAGCACTGCTAATTTCCAAGAATCAGGGTAACTAAGAAAAATTCAAACAGATTGATAACACACAGACATAAGATCCAAACACTTACCTGATCAAGTCCCTCAAAAGCTGATTTTCACAGATGTAGAGAATGCTATTTTCTTCACAGCGGAATGTGTTTTTGATCTTTTCCATGATCTTCATGGCCATGACTGTCTTCCCTGACCCAGGCAAGCCATGCACAAATAGTTTCTTGTGTTTGTGGAGATTTTTTGAGAGTATCTCATATTGTTGGACTGTAAGAAGATTCAAAATTTCACAGCCAAGCTGGTCACTCAAGAAAGATCTGAAGTTGAGCAAGACAATCACAAGGGCCTGCAGCAAGGTCTCCATTTCCCGGGTATTTGCAAGGTTATAGGAGTGTGGGTAATCTATGGATGGGGCTGACACCCTACTAGTGTCTACAATGCTCTTGGAACTCAGGCAGAGAACCTTGGTCATGACACACACCTTCCCAGTGTAGCCACCAGTGTTCACTAGCTTCTGCTTGAGAGCAAAGGCAGTACGGGTACAGTAGTCTTGTCCCCCCTCATCCTGCTGCTCAAGAATGGTATAGAGGGTTGGGGTGGTCTCCTCTGCAATCAGCAGAGCATCACAGATGACTCCCTGCTTCTCCTCCAAGTCTAGGTCCACAGCCCAGCTCCTAGAGAGGATCAGCAGACCACAGTGGACAGAGCGCATTTGCTGACTTATTAAGTTCTTTAGTCCCTTATTCTGTGAGCACAGCTTCTTCCAAAGGGATTCAGGAGTGTATGTCAAATATCCTGGTGACACTGGACATGGAAAGAATAGACAAGATTTCAAATAAGTGTTTGCATCATTCTGTATGACTCACATGTTTAAAACAGAAAATTAAGTAGATGGCCAACACAAAACAAACTCAATGGTATTTTTGGAGTTTCCCCCATCATACGCTTTGTCTGGTTATATTTCTTACCTTACAGGCCCTTTGCTTATTTACTATAGTTTTTGATTTTGTGTTCTTATGGTGTGTGTGTGTGTGTGTGTGTGTGTGTGTGTGTGTGAGAGAGAGAGAGAGAGAGAGTGAGAGAGAGAGAGAGAGAGTGTGTGTGTGTGTCTGCTCTGTTTGTGTTTCTTGTTCTTTTTGTTTGGTTCTCTTTCTTTCTTTTCTGTTTGTTTTTTCCTATTCTGGTTTGTTTGTTTTAGTTGCTTACTTGTTTTATAATGAGAGAGAGGGGAAAAGATTGTTGATTTGAGTGGGTGGGGAGGTGTCAAGGATCTGGAAGGAGCTGGAGGAAGGGAAGCTGTGGTCAGAACATGTTGTATGCAAAACATCTGTTTTCAATAAAAATTAAAGTTATAAAACATTTTAAAATAAAAAAGTGAACTAAGCTCCTATGTGCAGAATATATGTGCAGAATATATATCCCTTTTAACTCCTATCTCACCAGGCTGATGGAATGATGTGGCTTTCCCATTATCTTACAGAAAAGTCTCTGCCAACAAAATTGGAATTTATTAAGCCTAAGGAAGTGCAAAAAATAAAAAATCTGTGCAGATTCCTTTGTGGGAGTTTAAAAGCATTTCTGATAAGCTAAAAAGTGAAAAAGAGTTCAGGTAAACTAACTTTGAAAACGGACCTTAGACCATCTTAACACATTAATTATCTGGGCCTTCATACATGTTTATATATCCACAGGATGTCTCTGTATCATATCTGATGAACAGATCTCACATATAGTCAGAGCTAAAGGCTGACATCATCTATCATCTGAAATTATTATTTCGTACCAAGACCAGATTCACTGCCCTCCTATTCCACCATGTGAATGCCTGCTTGTGTTCTTTCCTCTGACCCTCAGAAGCTGACTGAAAAGGTCAACTATATCATTGTGCTCCCAGTATAAGACTTTGGCTATGGCTGTACTGGTTTAGTGAGTTCCGAAACCTTGAGAAGCTAACTCAAATGCGCATGCTCAAGGCCTGGGACAGACGGCTGCTGTAAACTCCTGGTGGGGTCCTTGACCTCTACATATTTAATATCAGATTTTGCTAGTTACGTGCTAGATGACTTCAAGAGAGATTTGCAGCACTGGTACAGCATAAGCTTGGTGATGTTCTTTCTCTTAATGGAAACACTAGCTGTTCATACCTGGAAATAAATGCTTTTGGAGATTGACTTTGTGCTCCAGTCCTTTCTTAGAATACACTGGTCTGCAGTGTGGGGGGCTGTTGGAGAGATTCAGCTGACTCTCAAAATCTTCACATAGGTTATGGAGACCAGATGTCTGATTGGAAGCTGCCTCTGTGTGGCACAGTGAATGAAACCCATCAGAATAACAAAGCATAGGCTCTATTGCGGGGGGGGGGGGGATTGGAAGAACATCACAAACTACAAAGAAGTTAAAGCTTGATGCAGAAGGTAATATCAGCAATATAAGCAGCCCTGATGGAGAGACCGAAGTCCCATCTGTATGACAAAAAATCCAATTGAAGGCTCTGGGGACACAGTGACTCCTCTGACATCATGGGTAGCAGCAGAGAGGAGGTTCACTTTGTCACTTCACTGGGTGCCAACTGGAGAGAGAACACACTGTTTGGAACTGAGCTACCAGAGGTCCTGATAGCAAAAAACAAGCTCAGATCAGCCTGCCATAGTTCAGGCTAGGAGACAGCTGTGAAAGGTAAGCATGGGGCAAGGACAGACTGGCCACTGACATGCCAAAAAGTTCAGGTAGTAGGAGGCTAGACTCAGAAAATGAAGCTTGGGGCTGGAGAGTTGGCGTAGAGGTGGAGAGCACTAACTGGGAGGAGAGGCAGGCAGATCTCTGTGAGTTTGAGGCCAGCCTGGTTTACAGAGCAAGTTCCAGGACTGCCAGAGATATGCAGAGAAATCCTGTCTTGAAACACCAAAAGTCAAAAAGTCAAAAAAAAGAAAAAAAAATCTTGTTGTTCATTAGACCAAAATGAAATAAAACTCTAAACTCTAAACCGAATGTCATTGATGAAATCAGGAACTTAAAACATTCACATAACCAAATGAAAACGAAAGCCGCAGTTATAGGAACATTTGGAACATATCAAAGGCATGTCTAATAGGGGAGCTTATTCCTATGAGCCATTACATGGAAAAGCCACAGCCACCTCAAGTAAAAAAATCATGGAATTTCAACTCAGAAAGAATCCAACAAATAAGAACAATCCAAGCTCCAGATTAGCAGATGGCAAGAAATAATAATCAGCAGGGTAGAAATCAATGAAGTAGAAATGAAAAAGAATGAGTAAAACAGACCTTTCAAAACATAGATAGGGTTGATAAACCCTTAGCTAAACCAACTAAAGAAAGAAGAGATAACATTATAATAGGCATCAATAAAATCTAGGGGATCATCAGGGAAACCTATATTCTAAACAGGTGAGAAAATGAGGGTTCTGAGTCAGAGGAGAAACCCTGGACACATAACAACTACTCAAACTAAATCAAGATCACTGAAGTGGCAGCTGCCAACATGAAGCCAAACCCCTTTCATTTCGATGCAGCTTCTCACACTTGCAGAAGATGGTGGTGTCTCTTTGCAAAGAGTTGAGGCAGAAGTACAGCATCCCATCTGTGCCAACACACAAGGAAGATGAAGTGAAGGCCAGCAAAGAAAAGCCCAGAACTGGATGGATTCATTGTTGACTTCTACTAGACCGTCACTGATGAATTAATAGCAGTGTTCCTCAAACTAGTTTGTGAAATAGAAGGGAAGAAACACTATTAATTCACCCCATAAAGATGTATTATTGTCTTGGTAGCACAATCACAAAAAAACAAAACAAAACAAAACAAAAAAATCAGTCACTCAGTTTCCATGATAAACTCATAAAGAACCTGCAAACCAAACTTAACCAAACACTGCAAAGATCACCTGCCATGATCAAGTTGGTTTTATTCCAGAGAGGCAAGGGTGGCTTGATATAGGCAAATTAATAAAGGCAATGTGTTACATAACTAGAATCAGGGACAAAAATCACAGATCATCTCATTAAATGAAAAAAAAAAAAAAAAAAAAAAAGCCTGTGTTGAAATTTTACATCCTTCCATGATAAAATCCCTGAAGAAACCAGGAACAGAAAGAATAGACACCAACATGATAAAGCTAAGCCTTACTTTATACTAGGTGAGAAATAACTAAAAGTACTGCCTTCTCCAAAATCAAGGGCTCACTTTTATTCAAGGCACATGTACAAACTGAACAGAAAGAAGTCAATCATCCCCATCTGCAGATGATCTGATCCTAAACGGAAAGATCTCAAAGACTAACAGTGAGCTCTTACATTTGATAACTTTTAGCAAAGTATCAGTAGTAGTCAAACCAGCTTTTCTATATACCAATAACAAACTTGCTGATAAACAGATCTGGAACATCTCATTAATGACTGCATCAAAAAATCCCTGGAAACATACCTAACAAAGGAGGCAAGAGGCCTCTACAGTGGGAACTTTAAAATACTGAGGCAGAAACCAGAAGAAAAAGCCTCCTATGAAAATGGCTGTCACTAAACTCAGTCTAGTGAGTCCATACAAATCCTATCAAATCCCAATGATGTCTTTCACAGAACTAAGGAAAAAAAATCCTGAAATTCACATAGAAGCACAAAAGACTAATTAGCCAAAGAAGACTTGGCAAAAGGAGCAATAGGGTCCAAACAAAATATACCATATCTAGTACAGGTTCCTGATTCCCAGAGTTGGAAACATGCTAAACTTTGGCACCAGGTGATCATTATTATGGAGTTCCAGCAAATTACAGTGGAGGATTTTAAATAATATGTGTGTAAACATGAAATCAGTTTTCATGGTACTGGTGAGATGGTTCAGAGGGTGCTATGGTGGTTGGAAAGAGAATGGCCCCCAAGTGGAGTGGCACTATTGGGAGGTGTGACCTTGTTGAAGGAAGTGTGCCACTGTGGAAGCGGGCTTTGAGGTCTTATATATGCTCAAAATACTTCCCAGTTTTTCAGGTCACTTCCTGTTGTCTGCAAGATGGAGGACTCTCAGCTACTTCTCCAGCACCACGTCTGTCTGCACGCTGCCATGTCCCACCATGATGATAAGGACTGAACTTTTGAAACTGTAAGCTAGCCACTCCAGTTACATGCTTTCCTTTATAAGAATTGCTGTTGTGGTCCAAGTCTTATCCACTGCACTCTGGATATGCTGACCTCTGGGATTTCTCCAAATTTGGGAAACTTGACTGCATAATTTGGGTAATGAGGGACTGGGTTCACACTCTTCCCTAACTAAAACAAAAGAAAAAAAAAAAAAAAAAAAAAAAGGAGTTGCCATAGTCATGGTGTCTCTTCACAAAGTAGAAAGTCTAACTAAGACAGGTGCTTGCCTCCAGGCCTAATGGCCTGAGTTCGATCTCTGACACCCACTTGGTAGAAGAAAAAGTGACTCATGTTTTAAGAATTTTCAATTCTTAAAAAAGATTTATTTATTTATTTAAGAAGAGGGCACCAGATCTCATTATAGATGGTTGTGAGCCACCATGTGGTGGCTGGGAATTGAACTCATGACCTCTGGAAGAGCAGCCAGTGCTCTTAACCTCTGAGCCATCTCTCTAGCCATTTAGATTTCTTGTATCCAAAAAAGCATAAAGATACAGAAAAAGTTGGTATAATGAACTCAGATTTTTGGAGTGTGAAGGATACAGAGGAACTAAAAAGAGGCAGAAAGGACAAAGAAGGAAGATGTCTGCCCTCTTACCTGGACCAGCATCCACCATCATGCCTACCCATTCCTTGGTGGTCAGGCTGCAGATACCTTTCTTCTTGTCCACGATCCATGAAGTGGGAGGTTTGGAGAACACTGCACAGCAGAAAGGCTCCACTCTGATCACACAGAGATAACCGTGCAAGTTCCCCTTGTCAAACACATCTATGACTCTGGTCTTATGAGACACCTTTTCTTCAGATGAAGAAAATGGAAAACTGGCAACTTGGATATCACTTCACTTACCACTCTTTCCAAAGAGCTTCGGTCAACATTGTCTTTTGGGCATCCCAGGACCTTCTTGCTTTTGTCATCTACTCCAATGAAAAGGTAGCCTCCACGGGTGTTTGCAAATGCAGAGATGTACTCTGGAATTTTACTTTTTATATAGTCTTGGACACATTTTGTAGAGAATTGTTTAAACTCTATAGATATAGATTCAGGGAAAGGCAAGCTTTGACCATACTCAAGTTTCTCACTTTGGAAAATTTCAAAAGCAGGATGTGATTCAAGGCTATTCTGATACATAGCTCTGGGGATTTTAGTGGGTGGAGCTCCTGCGTCAGACAGGATACACTTGGCATTCTTCTTATCATTTAGAAATGTGAATGCCTTTGTTGAATTCATGGTAAACACAGAAGTTCCACATCTATACCACAAGGAAGAATTTTGACTGCAAATGCGATGCTTAGCAAAACTGTCTTCAGGGCTGCAGCTCCACGATTTAACAAAAATGTAAAACTGGTTCCCTCGTTGCTGGGTCTCAAAGAAAACCTGAAGATCAGAAGGGTAGATAAGCTCTCTCAAGGACTCTTCCAAATCCAGTCCCATCTCTACAGGGTGATCAGTGTTGTTGGCCATTTGTATCTCAAGCACTCCGCCTCCAGAGTTTAACAGAGCACAGGCAGCCACTGCAATCCTTGTCTTCTCCAGCTTTCTCTTCATTGAGTCCATTTTCTTTCGGTTTTCTTCCCCAAGAGTCACTCCTTTTACACGGATGACCAAGTCTGGGTAAGACTGTGACACCAAGAAGGGATTTGTCTCCATGTTCGTCCTACAGTCAAACAATCCAAACACTTGTTTTACCTTTATTAAGATTAATTCCTTCATGCCCACAATTCATTCATCTACTTACTGAAAAAATTTAGTCTAAGTGAATAGATCCTGTCAAAGCAATAAAATATCTTAGAAATTGTTTTGAGGAGGAATGAAAGTAGAGCTTGCCATCACATGTGATATAGGCTATGGAAGGAAAAACACATTAAAGAGGTGTCTGAATCAATTTGGCTATTAAACTGTAGTTAACTAATGTTTCCAGGAGGAGACAATGTCACCTATTCACTGGTATTGTTAGAGTGAAGACATTAGCATTGAGGTACAGGAGCAGGAGGGATCAGCTAATGCAAGGGTGTGCCCGCGGCATGAGATTTCACAGCTTGGAACAGATTCCCAGTGCATTTTGGGGTAAATAGAGAATATACTAGCAGGAGATGTAAAAAAAAAAAAAAGGTCATGAAAACCTGGAGAGGTAGGAAATGAACAAAAAGAATTCGGTATTGACAGGTGTGTGTGGGGGGGATGGAACACAAGACCACCTGCTGTGATTTTTCAGGTATATAAGCTGCTGACAGGGGATGCAAGTTGAGATTGGAAAGTCTTATATGATTTTGTGAAATACCAGGAGGTGGTGGTGCACGCCTTCAATCCCAGCACTTGGAAGGCAGAGTTCAAGTCCAGGCTGGACTACAGAGTGAGTTCCAGGACAGCCAGGGCTATACAAAGAAATCCTGTCTCACAAACTCCACCCCCTAAAAAAGATTTAGTAAATGACACAACTGTGACTTTGAAAAGACTGCAAAAGCTGAGGTCTTAGGGATGAGTGCCAACAGATGTGGCTTGGCTTGCAATTCCATCACATACTGTTGCAAAATATTCCTTAACACTGTGTAAAGATGTGTCACCGTGATTGGTTTAATAAAGAGCTGAATGGCCAATAGCCAGGCAGGAAGGGGTTATGCATTATTTCTGGTGACAGAGAGGACTCTGGGAAGAAGAAAGAGTTACCAGCCAGATACAGAGGAAGCAGGACATGCAGGAGGAGTAGTAAAAGCCAGGAGCCACAAGGCAACATATTGATTAATAGAAATGGATTAATTTAAGTTATAAGAACGAGTTAGAAACAACCCTAATCCAAGGCCAAGCATTTATAATTAATAAGAATCCTCCATGTCATTATTTGGGAACTGCCTTGTGGGATAGAGAAACACTCATTAAAACATACTATTGTTATATTTATCTGGATATTTAGAAATGCCTAACCCTATGTCTTTGCTAACAGAGCAGGGATCATTTACCTTATATGAGTCTTAGTATAAAGGGTTAAATAATTCACTAAGCACTTAACACTATGCTTTGGCTCACAGATGTCCAGTAAGCAAAATTATACTAATTGTCATTATGTCACAATGGGTTAAGTAATGAATACCAGACACAGTAATAGTGTTATCAAGTGCAGACAATCAGTCATTAGATAAGCTTACTAAAAAAGAGAGGTACAGAAATGTACATGGAGGAAGAGAAGTTGAGGATTTTTTTTTCATTAGTGTGGGAAAGGCTTAACAATATTTACCCTAGATGAGAGTAAGCCAGTAGCGAAGTGAGAACTTAAGGATGGAGGAGGAGACTGAGTGACTGAAACAGTGGAATCCCGAAAGTCGAGATTTGGAAAAGATTGTGGCTCAGAATCTGGAAGAAGGCGGTGAGGTTAGGTTTATAGCTATGGGGGGTGGGAAGTAGGGAGAGTCTTCTACTGCCTTCCCTTTTCCTCTGGAAAGAGGCTTTTGCCAGAATGGCAGGAGGAGAAATGTAGTGCTATAGAGTAGAAATAGTTTGAAGAAATATCACAGCTACATGGGGAACAAAGGATGTGCACACAAATAAAGATGCTGCAGAGAAAAGGAGTAAGCTATGTGTCTTCGTTACTTCTCTGCCTCTGTGATAAAATGCCTTGGCAAAGGCAACTTAAGGAGGGCAGGGTTGGTTTGGCTCACAGAAGTACAGATCACCAGAGCCAGGAAGTCAAGGCAGCTGGAATTTACACAGCCCAGTCACAGTGTAACCCACCCACGGTCAGGAAGAGGGAGCAAGGAATGCCTGTGCTCAGCTAGCTGGCTCTTTTTTTTATTCAGCCTAGACACCACCCACAGCCTGGAAATGGTGCCAGTCTCCTTTAGAAGGGGTCTTCTCAATGAACTCAGTCAGCACAATCACTCACAGATATGCCTGCAGATTACATAACTCCTCGGGTGTGTGCCCTGAGGCCTTTCTCCTAGGAGATTCCCCTATCTCATCAAGCTGACTGTTATACCACATCTTCATGTGTCCAAAACATATAAATTTACAAAATGTAATAATGACTTGAAAAAGCAATTCTATAGCAGGGCATGTACATCATGATAGTATTTGCATAAAGACAAGGGGTTGAAGAGATGGCTCAGTGAATATGAGTGTTTTGCTTGTATGTATATCTGTGCACCACCTGCCTGGTGCCTGTGGAGGTCAGAAAAGGGCATCGGATGCCTGGGACCAGAATTATGGACAGTTAGGTGCTCATTGCCATGTAGATGTGGGGAATTGAACCTGGGTCTTCTGCAGAAACAAGAAGTGTTCTAAACTGCTGAGCCATCTCTCCAGCTCCATATAACAGAGCTTTTAGGAAGTTAAATCTTAACAATGTCATATGACACAGAATAAAGCTATAGTAGAGTTTGATAGGCAGAATGCCTCTCAGGAGGAAATGGTTCAATAGTAAATAGTACCACTCAATGAGGACCGAAGAAAGGTGATCTTTGTCTCCCTTACACCACCATAAAAACTGTTGATGAAAGATTGGACCCTCGATGGATGTGTGTGCAAAGTAAGGATGGGGCACACAAAACTCTAGATAGGCTGGAGCAATACACTTCTCAAAACAAATCGGGACTGGCTCTCTTGGGGCAGAACCATAACAGAAGGAAACAGAACCATAGAACAAGTGATGTTTGGGAAACAGCAGTCACAGAGCCCTTGGCTCTTTTCCAATAGCTTCTAGGTGATAAACTCCGGGTTAGATAGTTAACAGTTCTATTTCTGTCCCTTGGTGCCTCAGTTAAGGACAGTAGCTAACAGGGGTTGCTCAGAGGCATCTGCAGAATCTCTTCCAACATTGTAATTCAAAAATTGCAAATGGGGGCCTGAGGCACTTGCACTAACTTGAATCTGCTAACTGTGACAGGCTCTGCGAGCACAGAAACCTGATGCGGAGTACTGCACCTGTGTCCTCACATGCAGCGGTCCCTGCGTGCAAGCGTGATTGCGTGTGGTCCCGCGCCTACCCCTCCCTCCTCCGTCCCTCACTCCTCTGCTCCCCGCCTCCCTCTCCTCTCCCCTCCCCCCCCAGTGCTGGCCTGGTCAGGCTCACACCCACCTGGATCATCCCCTATCACTCATGCTTTTTAAGGAACTTGCCGCCGAGCCTGATAAAATACCCGGGCCTTCAGGCAGGAGAAAGACACAAATACACACACGTCACCTTGGCTTCTGAGCTGCTCAGGCACCAGGTCCCGGATTTGGCGGGCTAGACCTCGGAGGTGCTGGTCGGGAGCTGAGGGGCTCTAAGCACCCCGGGCCTGACCTGATTCCTGTTTCCAGTGCATTTGCCCGGCTGGCACTAAGGTCCGCCTTTCCTTTCCACTGGTTGGCTCCTCCCGCCAAAAGCGCGGAAACGAAGAGACCAGTAGAAAGTCTATTAAATACCAGGAAGCTTGGAACTCAGAATGTGTTTGATAAACTAAACTTTAACAATCCCAAACTTTAGATACATTGAGCTTCTGATTATTCCTGGCGTTTTTAGTTCCTCTTTTGGTCGCCGCCGCCATTCTTACTCGTCCCTGCTCTTCCTCTCTCCCAGCCCTTCATCACCTGCCCATCGTTCTGCATTTATCAATCTATTCATAAACCTATAATGAATCACACGCGACAGGGTAAAACTCATTCAAGAGGAGAAAAGCTCTTCCCAGGCCCTCCCCCTCTGCCTCCCGCCTCCCATTCGACCCTGGTTCCCTCGAAGGTCGCACCGGGCTCTCACCGCTTCCAAACTCCCTGCCTCCAAACTGCCCTGCCTGGGCAGAGTGGGGTTGCGGGGAGATCTCAGTTTCTCGCTCCGCTTCCGGTGGCCGCTTCGAAAAGCAGAACTTGGAAACAGCCACAAATCTTTCCCTTCCAGAACTCAGACTCTGGTACAAATCCTGCCTGGTCTGTGATCGGGTGGCGTTGCAGTCGTGAATTGGTCACCTGCTTAGAGGACCAGGCCTGGCTCCCACGTGGGTTTGGCGATGGTCGCAGGGAAATGCTTGGGTCAGCCCTTCTAACTTCCGATCCTTTCATGGGGGGAAAACGAAACTGTAGGAGCTTTTCTAGCCAGCTGGAGGGTCTTTGGCACGCTGACAGCTTGAGCTCACTGTTGGTTTGGGGATGGATTGGATTATCTAGCTGCCGGTCTCTCGTCCTGGGCGGTGGGCGGAACTGCTCACTGCAGACGCGGCCCATTGGATGGCAGCCCTGAGCTATACTGCCTCTGCCTGCAGGTGGAGTTCTCTGCCTTGAAAGCCTTTATCAGGATCTCACCCCCTGGCCTCAGAGGTGAAAACTAACCATCATTAACCCTTCATCCTTGCAGGTCTTTATAGGTTGTGTGTCCTTAATGCATGCACACTTACAACACAGGGTTAACACAGTTAGTGGCATTATGATATGCATTCTAGTTCATAACCTGTTTCTCCATGGTTCCAAACTTTCCATTTTAGTATACCTTCATAACACTGTGTTTAAGTTTTCCTTTAAAATGTGTATTTTTTTCCAGATTGTTTGTATGATCGAGGATCATGCTCTACAGTGTTGAAAGAAAAAGACTGTCAACCTAAAATTCAACCCTTTCTCTCTCCCTCCCTCCCTTCCCCCTGCTTCTCTCCCATCCCCTCTCTCTCTCTACCCAGTATTAGAAAATAACGAAG